TCAGGTACCTACTTATATTGTTATCTGCAGCCCTGGAGCTATTCCAATCTGCTGCCATTCATATCTGCCACATGTCATCTCCATCTGCTCGTTCAGCATAGAATTCATTAAAAAGTCACTGCTGTTTGTCTGAGAAGGTTTGCAGATCAGTAACTAGCAGGTTCTGTGTCTACCGGCAGCAGTAAAAGCTTTTGAAGAGCAAAGGTCAGGTCACCACAGCTGAAGGAATGAAGTTTGGGTACCCCTGTACTAGACCAATTACAGAAGCAGGGGGATGAGGATTCAGAGACCTCCTATGTACAGAGTACCGTTGCCCTGGCTATAGGGAAGAGAGATCTGAATGTTTTGGTAGCTGTAGAAGACTGTACCCTCATTTTATCCAATAAGGACATGTCACTGTAGCGCCTCTGTGTGCCGTCTTCAGGTACTGCAGCCAAACTGTATTGCTCTTATCCTTGATGTAATTTATACCCTTTTACACTTTGTACGATCCTCATCCCGGCGTCGCGAACAGTTGTGTTTAGTTCTCTATGACTGATGGAGACTGATAAGGGAAGGGAGAAGATGTCTGAGAGTCTCAGCACAAAGCTCAGGATGATCCAACATAAGATATGTGAAGAGCAGAGAATTAGCCAAGTGCCGAGCCGGTGCCAGGACTGCGGTATAAGTGCTGCATTAGGCCGTGTGAGCTCTGTTCCAGTCAGATAAAGGATTAGGTCACATCTGAGCTATTACACCCCCGGTTGGCTGCAGAGCTGATGCTTTGTGAAAGGCTTAGAGAAGAATCGGCCGGGGTCTTAGGAGGCCTCATTGTGTGGGTTTGGGGTAAAATTTACACCAGAATGACTTCTAGCTACACTATCTGACCTCCATTCATCCAGTCAGTTCCACCAACCAGTCTCTGTCTTTTAAGTTCTACTGACTGTCCTTCATCCTTCCGGTGTCAATGGCTGGCCTCCATTTTCCTAGAACCACTCAACAATCTCCACCCATCCAATTCTGATGACTGGTTTACTGTGTTTTAGCTTCACTTACCAGACTCTAACCGTTTAGCTGCCTGATTGGCCCCTGTTTTTCTAGAACCTACCAACAACCTAATTTTTTTAATCTCCAATTACCAGTCTCCGATCTTTTGTTTCCTCTGGCTAGCCTCCATCCCTTCAACATCACCGAATGTCATCCATCCTTCCAACTCACTGACTGGTCTTCACACATTTAGCTCCTTTCACCAGACTCTATCCCTTCACCTCCCTGGTTGGCTTCCATACTTTCTACATCCACTCACCAACCTTCATCCCTTCATCTTCCCAGACTTGCCTCCATTCTTTCAGTACTCAAGACTATCCTCCATGCTTCTAGCTCCTATGAATGGCATCCATCCTGCCAGCACCACTGAACATCTTCCATCCTTCTAACTCACTGACTGGTCTTCCCAATTTCAGCTCTACTCATTAGACTCTATCCCTTCACCTCCCTGGTTGGCTTGCAGATTTTCTACATCCACTCACCAACCTTCATCCCTTCAACTTCCCAGACTTGCTCCTATCCTTCAAGTACTCAAGACTATCCTCCATGTTTCTAGCTCCTATTAATGGCCTCCATCCCGCCAGCACCACTAAACATCTTCCATCCTTCTCACTCACTGACTGGTCTTCCCACTTTCAGCTCTACTCACCAGGCTCTATCCCTTCACCTCCCTGGTTGGCTTCCATATTTTCTACATCCACTCACCAGCTTCATCCCTTCAACTTCCCAGACTTGCCTCCATCCTTCCAGTACCTGAGACTATCCTCCATGCTTCTAGCTCCTGTGACTGCCCTCCATCCTCTTAACTCCCAGTAATGGCCTACATCCCTCCAGCACTATTGAACATCTTCCGTCCTTCTAACTCACTGACTGGTCTTCACACTTTCAGCTCTACTCGCCAGACTCTATTCCTTCAGCTCCCTGGTTGGCTTCCAGATTTTCTAGAATCAACCATCGACCTCCATATTTGTTTCTCCCCTTACTAGTCTCCATTTATTTGGTACCTATGGCTAGCCTCCATCCTTTCAGCACCACTGAACATCATCCATACTTTGAACTCACTGAGTGGTCTTCACACATTCAGCTCCACTCACCAGACTATGTCCCTTCAGCTTCCTGGTTGGCTTCCACATTTTCTACATCCACTCACCAACCTTCATGCTTCCAACTTCCCCAACTTGCCTCTATCCTTTCAGTACCAAGACTATCCTCCATACTTCTAGCTCATATGAATGCCCTCCATCCTTCCAGCTCTCCTCACCAGACTTTATCCGTTCAGCCCCTGGGTTGGCTTCCAAATTTTCTACATCCATTGACGAACCTCCATCCTTCCAACCCCCCTGACGTGCCTCCACCTTTCCAGTACCCAAGACTATCCTCCATGCTTCTAGCTCCTAAGAATGCGCACCATCCCTCCAACTATAGTTACTGGCCTCCATCCTTCCAGCACCATTGAACATCTTCCATCCTTCTACCTCACTGACTGGTCTTCACTATCTCAGCTCTACTCAGCAGACTATGTCCGTTTGGTTGGTTTCCAACATGTCTACATCTATTCACTAACCTCCATTCTTCCAACTCCCCTGACCTGCCTCCATCCTTCCAGTACCCAAAACTATCCTCCACACTTCTAGCTCCTATGAATGCCCCCCATCGTTCCAACTCAACTGACTGGCCTCCAACCTTCCAGTATCACTCATCAACCTCCATACTAAAAACTCCCCTAACTAGCCTTTAAGCTTCCGGTACCACTCACCAACTTCCATCCTTCTAATTCCTCAAGAGCCCTTCATTATTCTACTACCACTAACCAACCTTTATTTCCAGAGAGTCCTTCATCCTTCCAGTACCCTTGATTATCCTCTATCCTCCTAGCATCTATGAATGGCCTCTATCCTTTCAGCTTCCCCTACTCGTCCCTATGCTTCCAGTACCCCTGACCATGCTCCATACTTTCAGCTTCCCTGATGGCTCTCCACCCTTCTAGTCATACAAGACAGACTATCCTTCAGCAATGGAAGCCTTGCCCAAAGTACACCGGAGACCTCTTTTAACCTAAAACACAATACCCTCAGTGACCTCGCCAACTCCGCCATATTGGCACGGGGTTCAAAATGGCTGCCGTAACGTCAAAGTGACAGGCTCCCATAAAAACAAGAATTCCTCAGGCCTCCATCCTCAGGCCTTGCCCAAAGTATACCAGAGACATCTTTCAACCTAAAACACAACACTCTCAGTGACCTCGCCAACTCCGCCGTTCAAAATGGCTGCCGTAACGTCAAAGTGACAGGCTCCCATAAAAACAAGAGTTCCTCAGCCTCCCGCTGTCACTCCATCATCATCATGGCAGGTTCTGGTGACAAAGCGTGCAGCATTAATGCGCATAATTACCACCAGCTCCATAAACAGCCGCGTCTGAAGAATCTACCGCTTCATCTGCATTGAATAAAGGGGGGGGGAAACGCTATTTACATCAGGAACAGGTGGGTTCAATGAAGCAGCAGTGAAAGGTCCAATTAAAAAGGGAAAAAATTTGCAAATTTCCAGAATAAAGAAATGGATTTTATACGGGAATCACTGAAGGGATTCAGACACATTTTCACAGATGGGAGGAAATGGTAGAAAAAGATAAAAAAGTCGGCGTTTGTTCGCATCCTAATTATTAGGTTGTAGATCTGACTGAACAGAAGCTGAGATGGTCTAAAAATAAAATCCCAGGAAGTCGTGCTTCCCTTCCGTCTGCAGCCATATTGCCAGCCAGGCCTCTCGTGTGGAAGGCTGTTACCTAGAAGGCTGCAGGCCAGCGGCACATTTGGGTTCTGATGTCACACATCATGTTGTATTCTTACTGGACGACAGACAGGACCGATGCAATCTTTCCTCTCACATTACTATCTTATAATAAAACTTCACTGTTACCCTCACGGTCTGCATTTCTTCTGCCCACTTTCGCCATGGGCACACCCAAATCATACCCCCCCTCCCCACCTCTAAATATGGAGAAACCGCTCATCAGCCCACTTTGCTGGTTGGTTCCTGCCTATAAAAACACAGGGACCTTTCACTTGTGACCTCGATCCCCACCAGGGATGGCGGGAACCCCTCATAATGGGCACAGCAGGTGTACAGACCCAGGAACTCAGCACAGGGATGGTGGGAGCTCCTCATAATGGGCACAGCAGGTGTACAGACCCGGGAACTCAGCACAGGGATGGTGGGAGCCCCTCATAATGGGCACAGCAGGTGTACAGACCCGGGAACTCAGCACAGGGATGGTGGGAGCCCCTCATAATGGGTACAGCAGGGGTACAGACCCGGGAACTCAGCACAGGGATGGTGGGAACCCCTCATAATGGGCACAGCAGGTTTACAGAACCAGGAACTCAGCTCAAGGATGTTGGGAGCCCCTCGTAATGGGCACAGCAGGTGCACAGAACCAGAAACTCACCACAGATATGGTGGAAACACTTTGACATGGGCACAGAAGATGTACAGACCCAGGAACTAAGCTCAGGGATGGTGGGCCCCTCATAATGGGCACAGGTGGTGTACAGACCCGGGAACTCAGCACAGGGATGGTGGGAGCTCCTCATAATGGGCACAACAGGTGTACAGACCCGGGAACTCAGCACAGGGATGGTGGGAGCCCCTCATAATGGGCACAGCAGTTGTATAGACCCGGGAACTCAGCACAGGGATGGTGGGAGCCCCTCATAATGGGCACAGCGGGTGTACAGACCCGGGAACTCCGCACAGGGAGGGTGGGAGCCCCTCATAATGGGCACAGCTGGTGTACAGACCCGGGAACTCTGTAGCGAGATTACACTAGCAGAGCTCCAAAGAGATAGAAGAGACTGTTAGGGAGGTTTACCTCTCCGCACTTCACCAAATACTGAAAAATCAATTTTCGATGTGGCAGTGCTGTAGATGTTAATTTGAATTTTTTTTTCTTTGTCTCTTTCCTTCTTCTCCAGCTATTCATCATCGACAATGGAGCGGATGACTGGCGGATCGCGATGACTTACGAGCGGATATTTTACATCAGCCTGGAGCTGGTCATTTGTGCCATACACCCCATTCCCGGGGAGTACAAGTTTTTCTGGAATGCCCGTCTGGCCTTTTCCTACACGCCGTCGCAGGCTGAGGCCGACGTGGACATTATCCTCTCCATCCCCATGTTTCTGAGGCTCTACCTGATCGCCCGCGTCATGCTCTTGCACAGTAAACTCTTTACGGACGCCTCCTCCCGCAGCATCGGGGCGCTCAACAAGATCAACTTCAACACCCGCTTCGTCATGAAGACCCTAATGACCATCTGCCCTGGAACTGTGCTGCTGGTCTTCAGCATATCGCTGTGGATTATCGCTGCTTGGACCGTACGTGTCTGCGAGAGGTGAGGAGGGATGACTACGATAGATGCAAGGTCTTTCTAGATAATAACTCCACCCCCCACTGTCTGCTGGTATTTTATATCTCTCAGAGGTTCCTAGTTTGTGTCTCTGCCCCTCCCTCAATGGTGAGATTTCCCCCAGTAGCCTGTGTCTCTGCCCCTCCCTCAATGGTGATATTTCTCCCAGTAGCTTGTGTCTCTGCCCCTCCCTCAATGGTGAGATTTCCCCCAGTAGCCTGTGTCTCTGCCCCTCCCTCAATGGTGATATTTCTCCCAGTAGCTTGTGTCTCTGCCCCTCCCTCAATGGTGAGATTTCCCCCAGTAGTTTGTTTCTCTGCCCCTCCCACAATGGTGAGATTTCCTCCAGTAGTTTGTGTCTCTGCCCCTCCCACAATGGTGATATTTCCTCCAGTAGTTTGTGTCTCTGCCCCTCCCTCAATGGTGAGATTTCCCCCAGTAGTTTGTGTCTGCCCCTCCCACAATGGTGAGATTTCCTCCAGTAATTTGTGTCTCTGCCCCTCCCACAATGGGGAGATTTTCCTACTACTTTTTCTACTGAAAAGGTTTGTGACAGGGACTGGCTCATTAAAAGAACGAGCAGACTTAATTGTCTGTGTAGCCAGAGCAATCAATCGGATAGCCGTCATCGCTTCTCCATGGCCGGCTAGGGAATAGACAGGAAGCCCCGATTGGCTGCAACAGCCGGGACAACTGTTTGCGGTATACATAAGTGGACCCATCTGTGTTGATGCTGAAACGTAAAAATGGGATTATGTTCTGTAATAATGTAAATCCCACTTTAATTAACAGAGATCTCACTTCAGTCAATAGACTAATTACGCAGAAGGTTCATTAGCTAAAGAGGGACTCCGCTAAGCGTCATCTGTAGGTAAGATGGACACGTGACATTCCCCGTTATTAATACAAAACCTCCGCAGACTTCCCTGTAAAAAATAATTGGGATCCGCATTCCGCTTACCGACGGCGACGTCAAATGTAAGCTAGAAAACGCACAACACCAGGCCCCACTTTGTGACTGTCCTGGAGGAGAGGAGGACGGAGATACAACTGTAGCACTGGTCTATGAGACCTGTAGCTCTTAAAGGAGAACTATGAGGTGGGTGCTTTTCACTCATCCTCATAGTTCTAGCCGACCTGTGACAATGAGACTGTCACAGGTCGGCTCAGTAGATCGGGAGGTGAGCGAACACATACCGGCGTTCGCTCACCTCTCGATCCTGTCACGGCTGGATTCCCCGCTCCGATCCGCCAGCGCTGACTGGCGGAACGGACGGACGAGGGGGCGGCTACAGCTGGCTCTGCCTCTAGATAGGCAGAGCCAGCTGTCAGTCACAGTCACAATTGTCAGGATCCGCTTCAGCTGCGGCATCTCAGTATACCTACAGCTCGTGGTATACTGAGCCTAGGGTGACGGGAGGACGCTAGTTTGTGTCCTCCCGTTACTCTAAGGAGAACTATGGGGAAAAGCCTTAACCCCATAGTTCTCCTTTAAAGTCAGAGCAGCTAGGAAGTGCAGCGGGAGCTGGACTTCCTCCCACATATAAAATAAATGATTTGCAAGACATAGGCGAATGAGAGTGAGGTCCTCCCGAAGAAAGAGAAGGTATGCCTGCTTGAAGCCTTGAGGACTATTCCTCATTTTAGGACAGTGGGTGGAGCCATGCAAATCACTGATTTATGCCCCAACAGCCAAATGCATATCCACAAATGCTGGTTTATAGTATGAATATAGCCTAATATTATAGAGACATTTATTCCAAACTGCTTAACAGCTGCTTCAGGGTTTTTGGCTATCATCAGTGCACTGTATGGAAACCATGGCTTCTATGGAGCAGGGTTTGGGACCCAAAAAGAACCATGGCTTTTATGAAGAATGGCCTAGGACCCAGCGAAAATAAGGGTTTCTATGGATAAGGGCTTGGGACCCAACAAGAATCATGGCTTCTATGGAGTGGGGCTTGGGACCCAATGAGGACTATGGCTTCTATGGTGTAGGGCTTGGGACCCAATGATAACCATGCCTTCTATGACGTAGGGCTTAGGACCCATGGGAATTATGGCTTCTATTGAGAAGGGCTTGGGACCAAACAAGAACCATGGCTTCTATGGTGTAAGGCTTGGGACCCAATGAGAGTCTTGGCTTCTATGGAGAAAGTTTTGGGACCCAACTAGAACCATGGCTTCTATGGAGAAAGTTTTGGGACCCAACTAGAACCATGGCTTCTATGGAGAAAGTTTTGGGACCCAACTAGAACCATGGCTTCTATGGAGTAGGGCTTAAGACCCATTAAAATCATGGCTTCTATGCAGAAGGGCTTGGGAACCAATACAAACCATGGCTTCTATGGAAAAGGGCTTGGGACCAAACATGAACCAAGGCTTCTATGGTGTAGGGCTTGGGACACAATGGGAACCTTGGCTTCTATGGAGAAGGGCATGGGACCCAACAAAAACCATGGCTTCTATGGAGAAAGTTTTGGGACCTAACTAGAACCATGGCTTCTACGGAGTAGGGAGGGAATTATGGCTTCTATTGAGAAGGGCTTGGGACCAAACAAGAACCATGGCTTCTATGGTGTAAGGCTTGGGACCCAATGAGAGTCTTGGCTTCTATGGAGAAAGTTTTGGGACCCAACTAGAACCATGGCTTCTATGGAGAAAGTTTTGGGACCCAACTAGAACCATGGCTTCTATGGAGTAGGGCTTAAGACCCATTAAAATCATGGCTTCTATGCAGAAGGGCTTGGGAACCAATACAAACCATGGCTTCTATGGAAAAGGGCTTGGGACCAAACATGAACCAAGGCTTCTATGGTGTAGGGCTTGGGACACAATGGGAACCTTGGCTTCTATGGAGAAGGGCATGGGACCCAACAAAAACCATGGCTTCTATGGAGAAAGTTTTGGGACCTAACTAGAACCATGGCTTCTACGGAGTAGGGCTTAGGATCCAACGAGAATCATGGCTTCTATGGAGGAGGACTTATCAACTCTAGTCACTGCGACATACTATATAATTTCCCCATTGAAATTACTCACTCTGAACCACCAATACTTAACTGGGCCCCTTGTGTCACCTCTGACACGCATTCCCAGGTGATGACAGCCGGTGAGTTGACAGAAGCAAAGTAGGTTAGGCATAAAAGAAGTCGCCATTCAGGCAGAGGTCAAGCAAGGCAGAAAAACAGATAAACATACAGGAACCTGGAAAACAGGGCATGACTGTCTCGGGCCCACCCCTTTGGAAGAGGCCCACCTCATTAAAAGAGAGCCTCTCATGTGGGCATTACCTACGGCAGGTATGCCAAGGAACTCCCCTCCTCCAACCAAGCCCAATGCTTGCATCAGGGCTGAGGAGTACTGAGGCAAGGTGTTGTGATGTTTTCAGGAAGCTATATACAGCCCCCTGCTGGCCCTCCTACCAGTCATGATCTGCCTACAATGCATACAAAAGCACATAGATCCAGTGATGACAATGGGAAGATTTTTTTTAATAATGTAATTGAAGGGGGGC